AATCTTTTCTTTCCTTAAACACATAGAAAAACTCATTGGAAACTTAATAGAAAACACCCAAAGCACATGTGATTTCGGCCCATGCTCCAATCGAAATTACATGTGATTTCGGTCTTAAAGAAAACCGAAATCACATGTCATTTCGGTATAAGCATGACCGAAATCCCATGTGTTGGGTTCTAGGTTGGCGTTTTCGGCCTAGGGTGTTCTAGGTGGGAGATTTCAGCCTCCTTACAACTGAAATCTCAAGGGCGGGGGGGGGGGGGGGGGTACTAGGCCAATAACTATAAAGTAATGTTTTAAATCCATGATTTTATGTTCCAACAATTTGGCTTCGTTTTTAAGTGTTTACTACAAACATGATTTTCAAAGTATGCATACACACACACACACACACACACACACATATATATATATATATATATACACACACACACACACACACACACAAATAAAATGCCCTTTTGGCTTTCAAAGTTTTATTGCAACAAGGTTACCTTTGTTGGATTAGTGTCTAAGTCCATAACTATTTTGGTATGTACTTGACCCGATGGTGCATGGTCCTTTTGGGTTGCCTTCACCAAAAGCAACTTGATTGGAGAAATGAATAAAGAGAGAGAGGATAATATGATTTATTAATATGTTATAAGAATAATATATTAAAGGAGAAATCATATTTGTTTAATTAATATTGGTCAATAATTAATTAAGAATTAGTTTTGTGATCAAATGTAATTAATTAAACTAGAGGGGCTGAATTGTAATTATGTGATAGTTACAAAATAAGGTAAGGATTATCTTATATATATGGTGAACGAATTTGAGGTGTAAATCCCTTAGAATTCTAGTATGATAAGGATTCAAGGATTATCTTATTGGTTGCTTAATGGATAATCAACTAGATAAGGATAATGACTGAAACCGTATCTCTACACCTATATAAACACCCCTAGGGCCATGAATTCGTGTATCCCTTCCCAAGAGGTCCTAGATACGAATTCTAACCTCTCACCTCTCTCCTTATACCTTCTCCCACTTGCTTATGGTGTTTGTGAGCCATTAGAGGAGTGACACTTGTGACTCTAAGCCTTCCAAAGTCAATACAAGGAGGAATTGGGATTGTTATTACTACATAACAATCAAGGTATGTTCTTAAACCTAATTACATGTTAATATGATTACTTGCATTAGGGTTTATAGTCTTGGATTCAAAGCATGTACAATAGAGAAACCTAGATCCAAGCATTAGGGTTTGTATGAGCACATAGGATGTCTTATGACCAAAACCCATCAGTGGTATCAGAGCCTTGATTGGTTTCAATTGTATTGATGCATATTTAATCGTAATAAGCACTGAAAATCGATTTTTTTGAGTTTTGAAGGTTTGACTCGCCGAGTCACTTGGTGAACTCGCCGAGTCAGCTGGGACTCGACGAGTCCAAGCCCAGACTCGACGAGTCAAAGTGTCTGACAGCTCGTTTTCGCGATTTTCTTCCTGTTTTGGTTTTGGATAATTACCATAAACTCGTTTTTTGTGATAAAATCCGAATTTTTTCATTATTATGTTATTATCCTTACCTAAATAGAAGATAATTGTCAAATTTAGATAATCACTTGTTTTATTAGATAAAGTTTGATTATTTGTAATTTAGATTTGAATTATCTTGTGAAATAGTTTCAATTAATCCCTTTAGGTTTTATAGTTTAAATTTGAACCCCAAAAGTTTTGTTGTTTTGAAATTTAAATAGTTAAAACCCTAATGTTTTGAAAAATGTTTCAAAACTTGCCTCAAGGTTTGGAATTTAAAAGTTGATTAAAAGGTTTAATTAGAAATGTTAAATTCTAAAACTCTAGTAATGTTTTGAAAAGTTCAAATCACACCCTTATGGTTTTATTAATTAATTAAGGAGTATAATTAAAAGAGGTTTAATAAATCCATAAAAAATTTAGGTTAACCTTTTAATTGAATTAAAAGTGTAATTGTTAAAGTTAACCATATAGTTTTTAAAAGTATAAAGTACACCCTATACTATATATAACATTAAAAGTCTAACATTATATATATGTATAAGTAAAAGTCAGTCTTACCGTTAGTAGGCCTCATTCACGAAGCTGGTCTATAA